GTGCTGTGTCTGGGGCCAGCTTGAGGTGCTCGGGGTGCCAGGGTGTGGGAACCTTAACATGCGGACTTTTCCAGTGTTCATGATTCAGAATGCCACCCTCCTCCAACATGTTTGCCTCTCCCAGGACTACCTATGACAAACAGAATGACTCGACGTTTCAAGACTTGACAACGGTAGCTGGCTTTCTGAGCCTCCTCAAAAAGGCACTCAGATTGAAGGAAGGAGCACTTCTTTGGTTTGCCAATCCTTGCCACATGTTTGTGTGGATGTCTTCGAGCATCCACAAGCGGCGACCAGAAAATCCTTGGGGAGATGCAAGCCAGCCCAGCAACTTGCCTCAAGGCACAGAGGCACTTGAAGCCAAGCTCAAACCTGGGGGTGATTCTGTTGTTCCCCTGCCAAGGTGTTTGCATGAGCAACTGCATCACGTCCAGAGCCTGCCTCGTGCTGTTTATCATCACTTGCCGTGGGGTCTGGTCTGCAATTGAACAGCCGGCTTCGAGTACTCTCAAGTGGGTGCCGTATTTCTTGCATCTTCGGAAACTCTTGATGGAGTGCAATGGTGAGTTGTGGAAGCAGTGCAGCTTGTAGCTTGGATGCAAGCTAGATCCCACAGCCCCAGTGTTCGTATGTTCACTTATAGCCTTACATACTTCATGTCACCAACCAAGCTGGATGGGACTATATGGACATGACAATGCCAAGCCCAGCTACTGCATCGGCTCATCGTCAGGGTCTTAAATTGAGATTGCACTTGTGCCGATTTATAACCCTAGGTATGTATGTATGTGTGTGTGTGTATGTCTGTGTGTGTGTTTAGACCCAGATACATGTGGTGAGTTGAGGCGGTGGATCATGAAGCTGAAGAACCAGATGACCCGCAACAAACGACGTGATTTCTCGGCTGCAGCCAAGAAGGTTGTGGTCAGGAAGAAACGTGCTGACGGGACAACCACTGTGTGGGGGCCCCAAACCAATCAAGCAATCCTAGTGTGACATGTGCTGAAATTCCGAGGCTTCAGGAGGGATCGGGCAAACCGTGTATCAACTAAGAACTGGCACCAAGAAGCTTACGAAGACGCAAGAGTACCCTCGAGCATTCGCCAAAGCGGTCGCGACCCTTCACCTGGAAGACACCGAAAACGCCTCTGTGCAGCAAGTCAAATCAAACCGTATCAAAGGAATCTTAGATTACAACAAACGATCCGAGGTATCACATCCACCTGGATTGACCCTTCAAGGCATCCTCAATGCTCGCTTGGAATCTAGTTCGCAACTAGTACGGGTTCAAGAATGCACCCCGCTTCTCTTTGGCCTAGGACTGCCCTGGCGATTGGAGCGAGGCCAAGCTCACCGAGTTGCGAGAATTCCTGGTGGCTGAAGCCAATTCGGGTGCCTGGGAGCCGCTGCAGGGGATGCCCTTTTAGAGTACAGCTAGGGTTTAGTTCTAGGACTAGGCTTTCAGCCGTTTTGGGTTCTATATCTTGGGCGCTTGGAAAACCCTAAACCCTGAACCCTACGGGTAGGAATTTGGGATTTCGGAGTTGAAGGGTGCCGGTTTATGAAAATAGTACAGCTGCGGTTTACTAGGATTCGGGCTGTCAGCTAGTTCAAACAAGGTTTCAGGAGTTAGTGTTTTGGAATATATGATTCCTATATAAACCATCAAGGAACCCGAATAAGCCCTGAAGGGGAGGAGTTTGGGATGAAGGGGAGGAGTTTGGGATTTCGGAGTCTTTGCATGCCGAGGACATCATGTGGTTTAGGGCTTTTGGGTACAGGTATATTTATATACATGGGTGAGCTTTCCGGTTGTTTTGGGTTACAAACTGTCTCTTATATGGGTTATGTTATATGTTATATACTATACGATTAATGATACTGCTGTTACTGCTACTTCGGGTCCCCTACCAGGCCCTACCACGACACCCAGCCGTGGTGGAGCTGGACTAACCAAGTTAGTCAAGCTCCACCACGTCTGGTTGAACCTGAAGATGTATGGGTCTGGGCTCTGCAGTGCTCCGGGCTCTGCCTGCAACTGCTTTTGTGCTTGTCAGGCCTCGGACCTAGGAAGCGAGTGCCTGATTTTTTCGGGATTCCTGAGACCAGGCCAAGCCCTAAACCCAATTAATTCAACCTTTCGAAACCAGCTTAAAACCAGTCTAGACCCCTACCCTACTTTAAATATGATTAGGTTTTTGAAGGTTACTATACATAAATTCTACATAGGGATTTATTATAACAAGACTACAAAAAAATAGGTTCGAGTAGTTTATGATAGGTGGTAGGCCTTAAGCCCATTCGAAGCCCAAGCTGAAATGCAACTCGAGACCTAGGATCCGAAGCGGTGCCGAGCTTCCGTGCACGTAGACAAATCCATAATGCCCCTAAAACCCTATATCTGCATAAACCACATATAATAAAGCCGGAGCCCGGTTCCAGCTGCCGCCGTGCAGAGAGGCCTCGGAGATTCGTGGGTTTTAGGCCTAGGGACTTGTTATGGTTGGTACAATTATAACTAGTACTAAGTCTAGTACGAGTCCTACAACACTGCTGCTGCTACTGCTACTATTGCTACTACTACTGCCACTGCTATTGCCACTACTACTATGCTACTAAGTACTACTAGTACTACTAATACTACTAGTACTACTTGTACTACCACTACTACTACTACTA